AGCACAAGAAAGGCAAATTAAATATTCAAATCAACATTGATGCCATGTAGAATATAAAATAGGTGATAAAGTCTTATTATCCACACAAAATATTAATGTGCCTGTAAATAAAGAAAGACCTACAAGAAAACTTAATCCTAAATATATTGGTCCATATAAAATAATAGCAGAAGTATCAAAAACAGCATATAAATTAGAATTACCAACAAATTTAAAAATTCATCCAGTGTTTCATGTCTCTCTTCTTAAATCATATAAAGAATCTGATGAATTGTAGAATATAAAATAGGTGATAAAGTCTTATTATCCACACAAAATATTAATGTGCCTGTAAATAAAGAAAGACCTACAAGAAAACTTAATCCTAAATATATTGGTCCATATAAAATAATAGCAGAAGTATCAAAAACAGCATATAAATTAGAATTACCAACAAATTTAAAAATTCATCCAGTGTTTCATGTCTCTCTTCTTAAATCATATAAAGAATCTGATGAATTCATAAGGGAAATTCCACCACCACCTATTTATATAGCAGAAAATGATCAGGAGGAATATGAAGTTGAAATGATCTTGGACAAAAGAATTATTCATAAAAAGCCACTTCACATGTGATAAAAACATATGTAAATAAATAAAATAATATAATATATATTTATTGTCCATTGTGACATTATTAGAAAAAGTGAACATAGTGTAAACAATTTTTTGTTTTTATTTTGTTTTGATTGATGTAAATGTAACAAAACCCGGACAAAACATTATTATTATGTCACAAAGACATTTCAGGGTAGTAAGCTGGAAACCCTCAATAATATGATTGTGGCCTTGAATTTAACAGTTTCGCAACACCTTCTTGTTTCAAACTTTTATAAAATAACCTACTAGATAATTGGAGTAATCGATCCAAAGTTATAAAATTCAATAAAGGGTCTAATTTTTTCTCTGGGTTTTTGTTTGCTGATAAGGTATTTCTATTTTGGTTTTAGATGGTAAATCATTTTCAAAAATGGTAATAGTAAATGATTTTATTGATGGTTTTTTTCTTCATCTTTGTAATTATTAATAAGTACTAATCAGCTATTTTTTTGGTAGGCAAAACATATTCCTCATAAAGCTTCTAACGGTTTTACTATATAGTGCTCTGACATACCAATCAACCAATTAAATTTCATGTTTTCATTGTTCTGAATGGAATTTCGACATAATATTAATATTAATATCAATATCATTTATTGTTTTCAGTTCGGTTTTCCCGTTTTTCTTTCAATTCATTGTTCAAATGCTTTTTGATTACTGCTACCACTCAATGATTTGCACTTTTGAACTTTGCAAACTAGCCTAAAATCATCATCAATATTAAAATATATTCTAAAATAAGCAAATTTCTTAATATCCTCAAATTGTAAGACATGCATCCTTCAACAATAATCATTTGTAGCATTACCATTATTTGGAAAGAGCCATCTTTGCTTCCTTGAGTTAATAAACATTATTTCCACTTGGATTGATTTCATGGTCGATACTTTTGGGATTAACAAATTCCGTGTAAGAATATGCTTTTAAAGTATTACTATGAAAATAAAAAGTGGTTATTTACTTTTGGTTTTTCTTTGAATTGTCCTTCTATTTTTTTTTGTTATACTTGTTTTCCATGCGCCCAGTGTTTGCATTTGGCCAACAACTATATGAAAATTATCACTATTATACATAACGGATCAGAATATTCAAAAGGAACACCGAAATAAAACTCTTGGAAATTGTGAACTTGCCTAGCACAGATGCTGATTTAGAAAAACTCTTACGAACAATCAGAGATTTGGCATTCCCTTGAAAGTAATGTTATTGTCACTTCCTTGTTAGAAGCCCTTAGAAGTCAGCAACAACAAATCCAAGATCAACAACTGCAACAGGTAGAGATTGAAATCCAACAAAATAATGGATGAATTTTTCACATGAAAATTATATGCATATTATTTATGAATATCATTATTATTAAATTTCTTTGATTCTTTAATTCTTCAATGATTATCAGTGTTGTACATGGGACATGTCCGCCTAATATTGAGCGGACATGGACATGTCCTGAACAATGTCCAATGGACACCGTCCAAAAATGTCCGCGTAACAATTTGTCACGTGGACGTGTCCGCTCATTTTCTTAATTGTCCCGGACTGTCCGGGACCAGTAGTACAAACCACAAGTTAAACGTGAGAAAATGCCTTTACCACCTTTATTAACTCAAAATATTATTAAAAATAATATAAAACTAAACCAAATCAATTCAAAAACGGTTTGTAAACATGCGTTGAAAAATTAAGAGGAGGAAGGGAAGAAAAAATGGTTTCCAAATTAAAAGGATCGAATAATTCGGCATTTAATTAATTAAATGATTCTATATTAATAATCCAGAGCCTTGCTTTAGAGTAGA